AGTGCCCTCCGACCACAGTGCCCACTTTCCTCCTCTTTGCCTCTCAGATCTTCAGGACCCTGGTGCGGCCTCATGGCCTTTTTGGAGACTCCCCTGCACTACCCTTACTCTGCTGCCCCTGCTCATAACACACAACTGGTGACCTTGCACTTCTTAAAAAACTCTGGTTTTGCTTATTGTTTATGCTCCTCCCCACACTAGTAGATGGTAGTTACCACCTCTAATCACCTGACAACTCCAAATGTACCTCATGCACATTTTCAAAATTTAATGTTCCCAGCAGCCCCAGAGCTGGTGATTGTTACCCTCATTTTGCATGTGAGAAAACTCAAGCTGAGATAGGTTAAGTGACTTGTCTGAGAGCACAGGGGCAGAGTCAGCCCAGGGCCCTTGTCAGATCTAAGGGGTTGGGGCTCAAACTCTGCTACCCTCAGGAATATGTGAGAAGGACCCCAGGAAAACAGTGGTTTCATCAACCCTGAAGTGCAGCCTTCCTGGTTACTGTGATATCAGATTTTGAGGAAGAAGGTATTCAGATACACCCATCACCACCATGAGCCTGTGCTAGGCCCTGGGACTTAGGGTCTGTGGCCACACAGGTATGGGCAGCTGTGGGAGCTCGACATGTGGAGCACACAGGGGCAGTGCACATTGCATGCACCGCCTGTCTACATGAGAACATCCCTGTGAGACTTTGGCCATGGTGGCAGGCAGAGCAGGTACCCTTCCTTAGTCAGAGTGTGTTCCTGAAGCCTGGGTGTGGACTGGCTTATTCAGTGGGGACCAGCCCTCAATAGGCAATCACTGGAGAGATGATGAGGGATGTGGCTCCCTGCACCCTGACCTCACACAAGTGATTTAGCTTCTTTTGGCTTCGCCTCACTCAGGTTCCTTCTCTCTGAAGTGGAGCTGTCAGTCCCTGCCTTGTCTAGCTTCCTGGTGGCACTGGGGCCCTGTGTAGACACAGGGGAAAGGGATTGCTTTCTGGATGGTAAGAAAGCGGCTTCAGGTCTCTCTGGCAGTTCTGCTCCCTCTGCCCTTGCCAAGTGTAGGAGTAAATGAGCTGGGCAAAATAAGTGATGCCGGGAGCAGCTATTTGAATTGGCTGCCAGATAATTTTTCTTCTTTGGCCTGTCTCATCTCTCCCCACAAAACAGAAGCACCTATAGGTATGGAGGTTCTGTTCCTATCATAGGAGGGGAAACCTGTGCTTAGAGAGAAAGGCTTAGCCCCATCTCTGAGCAGCCCTCCTGCCCAGCAGCCCAGCCAAACTTGGGCATCCAGGCTTGCAGGTACCTCCGTGGCTTATGAATTTACAGCCACACAGTAAAACCTCTGTGAGCTCCTTTTCTGGTGAGGCCCTGTGCAGGGCTCTGGGCACGCAGACAAAGCAAGTAGCAGTCCTGGAGTCACTGGCAGAGGGGTATGTCCAGGTAGAACTGGTGCTGTGAGAGTGTGGGTGTGCTCAGGGTGGCAAGGGAGCAGATTGGATCTGGGACTTGGCTGGATGCTTAGGCTCCATTGTGGCCCCACCTAAGAGTTGGAAACAGGCTGGGAGTGAAGGTGGTGGCATCTGATTGCAGCATTGGCATCCTCACCAGCTCCTGCCAGACCCCTCCCAGCTGTAGCTGGGGCAGAGGAAGTGTTGACAGCTGGGTAGCAAGGGCTGGCAGTGACCTAGGGATGCCTAACTGCACCCTTGCTTCTCACTGCCCAGACAGCTACGCCAGGGCTGCTGCAAGGAGGTGAGGCCTAGGTCTTAATATCAGGCTGGGAGTCCTCAGAAGGGTGGACACCAAAGATCATAGAGTTCACCCTCCTTGCCCCCACTTTGTAGATGTGGAAACTGAAGCCTGAAAGGTGAAATGCTTGGCCAAGTTGACATAAAAGTTGGTGGCAGAGCTGGGACTGGAACCCTAAGACCTGCTGCCACTTTATCTGCAGCACAAGATACTTATTCCTGGCATACCCCTCTGAAGAAAAATAGGTCATTCATTTTTTCCCACCTCCGCCAACTTTGTTGTGGGAAAAGAGAGAAGGAACTTGGGGAATCTGCAGCATGGGGGCAGAAGCCGACCTGGAAGATGGGATTGAATTGAGTCCAGCTCTGCCATCTTCTGGCTGAAGGACCTTGGCCAGGTATCACCATCAACATGGGGTGGTTGTGCTGCCTTCTTTGGAGAGTTCACTCTCGGTCATCTTTGAGAGTGCAGTATACTACTATCTGTGAAAAGAAAAAAATGGGGATTGCTGATAACGGAGTCACAGGAGACCAGGTGTCTATGCAAGTGCTTTTGGAAGCCCTGAGCCCTGCAGAAGGGAGTCCAAGGAGACTGGGGAACAGCCAGAGCAGAACCTTGTTCTTCCTCTGGCTTTAAGGTCTTCTCTGTTGTTCCAGTTGAGGAAATGTCATCAGTGTGATTCCACACTTCTCCCCCAACCAGGAGTGGTGCCCTAACACAGCTGGTTGGCCCTGACCCAAAGGTAGGAGGCTAGATAAGATGACTCCCAAGGCACCTTTTCCCTAAACACTCAAACCATTGGCCTCAGAGTCCTATCTGCAGTCAGAAACAGCCATGAGAAGACGTCTGATGGCCGTCTCTCCACTGCCTTGCCTTTTTTTCCTACAAAGCAGGAGGTGGTGGCTTCTAGCTGTCTCACGCCCATCCCCTGTCTTGTCCTACCTGTCTTTGCACTGAGGTGCTTTAAGTAGTAGTGTTTTTCCAACTTAATCACATGGGAATCTTATTAAAATGCAGATTTTGATTCAGTAGATCCAGGCTGGGGCCCAAGATCCTGCATTTCCAACTAGCTCACAGGTGATGCTGATGCTGCCATTCTCAGACCACACTGTGCGGGAAAGTGCTAGAGTACATTTTGTCTTGTCTGTAGCCAGGGTATACAACTTACCGCAGATACAGAAGGCCTCACCTACCCCTGCTTCTGTTTCTCCTGCATAGCTCAGTATGCAGAGCCAGCGACTGGGAGATGACTTGGCCAGCTAGCCCTCGGATTTGGGGTTCAGGCCTGTGCTTGGACCTTAACTTCCCTCCTTCCTATACTCACTCATGCCTGTCCCCACATGTAGGCCCGAATGAAAGACCCTCATGTATAAGCATGTGACTAAGTCATTTGTCAGGCTGCACTGCCAGGCAAGTTAACCAGGCCCTGAGCATGGCCCACCCTCGGACCTGCCATGTTCCCTTTGCATAGGCCTTTGCACTCAGTAGCTACTATGGGGAAAAGGGAGGAGTTTTGGGTTTCACGGCTCTTCCATCTTCTCAGTGTTCCAGTGTCCCTCTTTGGACCTCAGTCTGCCTGGCTGTCTAATTACATTATACTAGATAACTCCAGAGGGCCTCAGGCTTCAGGATGGGCTATTGGCCAGGTCTGGAGGTGGGAAGGTCCTATGATGGTAGGATTTTTATAGAAAGGGGCAATTATGAGTCAAACCTGTGGAATGGCTTTGTTGTCAAGCCTCTCTGTTTGCTTTTGTGAGTTCACATACTGCCACCTCCACCCTAGTTATGCCTGTGGATTGTTAGATACTACTCAGTACCCCATAGGTGCCATGCACTACGGATATGGCAGTGAGTGCTGTGGGCTTGCTTGTGAGGTCACACAGTGAGTAGAACTAAGGTTTAGAGCTGGGTCTGACTCTTCTGCTACACCAAGCCCTTTCCTCTGATCCATCAGGCCCAGTAAAGGGGATAGGACTTTGTGTCCACCCTGAGACCTAGCATTTCCTTCTTGCCTCCTAAAATGACAACAAAGCAATTGTTGACTTTTAGCTGTTGAGGGGCACTTCTCTTTCTAAACTCTGCTGTGACTTTGTTGCTCTATAGATTTTGAAGAAAAGCAAGTCTTGAGGGTAAGGCTCTGCACCCCTCTCCCTCCTTGCTCCTAGCTTATAGGCTAGGGTGAAAGGTCGTTAGATCCTCAAGGACAAGATTATGACTAGATCATCTGTGCTCTGAGCTTTGCACAGAGTGGGTAGTGTGAAGGAATGTTTGACCAGCACGTAGGAGGCATTCAGTGAAGATGTGCTGAGCATAGGGTATGGGGTGGGGCTCAGTAGAAGTCTAGCTGCTAGAAGGAGTAGGGTATGGATTGGGACCTCCACTCTGCTCTTCCTTGGTGCTGCCTTTCCTTCAGTCACCAGACTTCCTGGTCCCAGTGCTTGCCAACTGTTGGAGTCCAGGGAGTCATCCTGGGGGCACATCTTGCCCTCATTTCCAGGCTTGGCGTTTGCTTGGTAGCAAATGTAATTACAGCCTGCAGTGTCCTCCAGGCTGCCTGAAGCTACTGGCCATTGGGCCCCTTGGGGAAACAAAGGTTCCCACCTGAGTCCTTTTTGGGCTCCACATTTTGGGCACTGAGATGAAGTTGAAAGTGTAAATCTCTCTGAAGGTGGTAGTAATGGGGAGTAGGCATGAGGGGCTGGGAACAAGGGGGCTCAGGTCCTTGGAGAAGGAGTAGAAGTTTCAGGCATAATGGGGGCAGGGCAGGGATTGGGGATGCTCAAAGTACACCAGGGGGAAAAAACATTGCAAATTGGATGTTGAACCTCTGTCCTTGGCCTTACAGACACAGTTAGCAAAGATTAAATATTTGTTCTAGATGCAGATAAAGGATAAGTACAGGAGTTTTACTGGGTGGAGGGGAGGGAAGAGAACTGGTAATTATGGAGAGCCTCCCCAAGGCCCAGCCCCTGGGATGTTTTCTTTAGATACCTCATTTGGTTTCCAAAATGGCCCTACAAGGGAGACACCATTCCTATCATATATATATAGAAACTGGGGCACAGGGAAGCATGTGAACAGCCCAGAGTTTCAAAGCTATTGGGTGAAGGGCTGGGATCTGAACCCAGGTCTGTCGGATTCTGTAGCCCATAATCCTCTCAACATCTAGAAAGGAGCCTGTGGGAGATGGGTTAATGTTGGGAACCCTGAGGCTGGAAGGGAGGATGACCATAGGCTGACCTTTCTCCTCTACTGCAGGCGCAGGCTCCAGTATCCTCTCTGCCCTCCAGGACCTCTTCTCCATCACCTGGCTCAATAGGTCCAAGGTGGAAAAGCAGCTACAGGTCATCTCAGTGCTACAATGGGTCCTGTCTTTCCTTGTGTTGGGTAAGCTGGGGCTTGGAGGGAGAATGGGTGAGCAGACAGGGGCCACCTCCCCAACAGAGGTTTAGAGCAGGAGCTCTGCTCTGTGGAGGTGAGAAGGTAAGAGTAGCCTGTACACAGGCTGACTCGTTGCATCCCCCGTTAACTCTCACCTTTTGAGTCCCAGATTAAGTGCTCTTCCTAGGCATATGTGAGGACTCAGTGAGATTCAGTGGGATGTGGTGGTACGGTTCCCATTTACAGATGGGAAACCTCAGGCCTGAGAGAAGGTAAGTAACTTGGCCAAGATGATACAGATTTGAATCCAGGTCTGTAGGATCCCTAAAGCCTGTGCTTTTCCCATAGTGCCACCCGCCCACCAACAAACATTTTCCAACAGCTATATGGTTTTGCCTTGGGATGGCATGGTGCCAGGTAGTCATTAATCTCCTACAAACAAGCTCTCTGACCTTATACAGGTTATTTGAGCTCTCTGAATGTTTGTTTCCTCATCTGGAATGTGGGGGAAAGCCTATTTCACATGGCTTTTGTGGGAACTGAAGACAGGAATGAGAGCAGCTGGCATAGGACCTGGTTGTGGTGGCCCCATTGCATGGGTGGTGCCCTGAGACCCCACCTCCAGCCCTCACCCACTCTCTGCGGAACACATTCTGCAGCTTCTTCCCAAGGCTGCTCCCTCTGTCTCTCAGCACTGCCCACATCAGTGCTCTGGTATCTTCTTCTACAGGTCTGTCCAGGTACCCTCACTCCTTGGATTGTATCCCGGCCAGGGTCAGGATGATGTGGATAGTCTGGGAGGAGAGTAGGGCCCATACGTGGGCCACCCCCTGCTCTTTTAGAAGTTTCTTCTCTATACCTAGACCCCTGTGTCCTCAGCATTAGCAGTAGCCTCCCCAGCACGTCAGGACAGGCTGAAGCATCTAGTGTGAAGCATCATAGTGTGCATGTCTGGACCTGTGTGCAAGCCCCTTTGGTGACCCCCTCTTGCACACTAGATAGGCTGGTAGGGGATCATCGGGACATGTCAGGGTTGAGCAGCTGTAGCTGTCCTTTCAGTAGGTGCAGGGCAAAGGATGGGACGAGGGTTCTGTTTATCAAACCCCATAGTGTACCAGGCTGCAGATGTGTCTTTCCTCAAGTGCCCACTTGCACAGGTGAGGAAGTGGAAACTCACAGAAGTTCACTGACTACCTGAGGCTGTGAAGCTCATGGAGAGTTGGGATTTGAGCAGAAGCCCAGTGCACTCCTCAAGGAACCCATCTTACTGGAGCCCAGAATTAGTAGACCTGCTTTGTGGACCTGTGAACCCCTAAAATGAGATGCAAAAAATACAAGGCTGTATGCACATTTTTCTGGAGAGTAGGGCCATAGGTGTCCTCAGATTCTTACAGGGACATACAGACTCAAAAAAACCAAACACTTATTTGGGAAGAACAACAAATTAAACTGGCTCCCTCAAACTCCCAACTTACATTTGGCCACTTATTAGACTCCTGGAATAGAGAGCGCAGTGCAACCCTGTCCTTGTTCACATTGGAAGCAGAGGAGCAGTGGGATGGAGCCTGGTTCAGGGTCACATGAGAAGAAAATAACAGGACTAGACAAGAACCCAGGGACCCTAGTATCCAAGACCCCTAGTCTGCTGTGCCATTTGCCTTTGTTTCCGGTTATACCCAGAAGCCACCATCCCTGATTTGGAGGGTCAGGGCTTGGCTGCTGGGGAGGCAAGCACCTTGATGGGAGCTGGCCCCAAGCTGTAGGTTAGCAATTAAACAGGCCCAGCCACAGCCCGGAAACTGGCCCAGTGTCGTCTTAACCCCCTGGTGTGGGTGGCAGCCAGGCCTGGTTGGACAGGCGTGTCTGCTAGCTGCTGCTAACTACTACTTTGAGCAGCCCCACGCTCCCTCCCTGTGCCTCTCAAACCTGCTGGCACAAGCTCACATGACATTGCAAAGGCTTCGGTGACCTCATTGGCCTCTTTGTAGACCACAAGCGTTTCACCATTTTTATGCTGTGGGGCCCTCTGGCATTCTGATGAGAAGCCTATAGCTCTTCTTGGTATTTTTAAATGTGTTATACAAAATATGTTGAATTTCAAAGGAAACAAATGATACTGAAATATAAATACACATTAGAAAACCTAATCAGACATATAGTGACACATGTACCTTTTTATTAAATAAAAAGATCTAGTAGCAGATATAATAATTGCTACCATTCTTTTTTTGTTTGTTTTTTGCTTTTTGAGACAGAATCTTACTCTGGCACCATGAGTAGAGTGCTATGGCATCATAGCTCACAACAACCTCATGTTCTTGGGCTCAGAAGATCCTCTTAACCTTAGTTTTTCTATTTTTAGTAGAGATTGGGTCTTGGAATTGTTTAGGCTGGTCTCGAATTCCTGAGCTCAAGCAGTTCACCCGCCTCAGCCTCCTAGAGTACTCTAGAGTACTAGGATTACAGGCCTGAGCTACCATGCCTGGCCCTTAATTATCATAATTCTTAAGTAATGATGAGAATAAGTGATTTCTCCAGATATTTGCAACTGTATAATGTGATATGAAAAACTTTTGTTATCTATTATACTTCTGAGGTTTGTTACACTCATAAGTGAAGGAAATGCTAAATTCCTATAAGTGTTGAATGAAAATTTAAATGTCATTTGTTTCCCCATCCAAGTCCATAGACACTTAAATATGTGCCAGGCTTTGTGTTAAGTTCAAATATCATGTCATTTAATTTCCCCAATCCCCTGTAAGGAAATTAAGGAACAGGGCATGGTCAGTAAGTGGCAAGGCCAAGACTGCTGGTCTGCTTAGTCCCAGAGTCCACGCTCCCAACAGGCCATGTTGCGGCCTCCCCTGCCACTGAGCATCCACAGACTGTTCTGTACCATAGGCCTTGGGCTCCAGACCTTTGTATCATAAGCTTCTTTGTGGGCCATGATGATGCGTGGGGAGGGGGTGACATGTGAAGGTGGTTCCAAGGCTTCTGTGTGTGGAGCAAGTGACACCTTTTAAGCACGTTACTTGTGTGTCATGGACTCAGCAGTGCTGGTTCCTGCTATAGCCCCATGACCAGAGAGGATAGAACTGGAAGCCTGTGCTCAGAGGACAAGGATTAGGCTCTGAGAAAGGAAGGTCATTTGGTGACTTTAGTTCATCCTTTTGCTCAATAAACCTTTCCTGTGTTGACCTAGAGATTAATCTGGCCTGGTTTCCCCTCCCAAGGAGCTCAGAAGCTGAAGGGTTGTCGCCTGGAGGGCATCTACTGGGGGAAGTAGATGCCGATGAGAGAGTGTCAAAGAGGGCTGTGGACATACAGGGCTCTGGAGGGGGCCTTCTCCAGCTGAGGAAGGCCGGGACTAGAACGCAGTCTCTGGATTCCCAGTCAGGTCTCTTCTCTACCTAGGCTGCCTTAGTGTTACCCACCTTCCCAGAGAGGGCAGCCCTCTAGGCTGTGAGGCCTAGGGCTCAGTTCCTTTTGGTATCTCCATGCCTTGAGACAGTGGTTCTCAACTGTCCTAATGCCACGGCCCTTTAATACAGTTCCTGTGAGTCACAACCCACAGGTTGAGAACCGCTTCTTTGAGAGAAGGGTTTGCAGGTAGCTAGGATTTCAAGCTGCTGAGACCCCCTAGCCAGGACCTCATAGGCCCTGCAAAGGTTCACCAGCAGCATCCCCCTAGTTTCTGAGGAGCTTGGGTACCTGTGAAGTGTGGGGGACTAGAGTGGTCCCTTTTCTAGGCCTAAGAAATGGAATCCGTGGCAAACTGCTATGCAGTATGACTTTGTTAGCAGCCTTCACTTAGTCATGGCTGTTCACCAAGAGCCTTAAATTTATTTCACAGTTTGCTTTTAATGGAATCTTATAGGCTGCAAAGGCTTCCCTAGGGACTCATCTTCCCTATCTGTGATGTCATATTCCTAAGCTGGCCCTAAAAATCTGGGCACTGTGTGTTCACTGCCACTTCTGAGAGTTACCCTGTTTTTAGCTATCCTGCCGAGAGACTGGCTCAGGAGTCTAGAACAGAACTGGACTGGGGGCACCAAGGGTCCACCATTTCCCTGCCCTTAGGCTTGTGGAGAATCTTCATCTGGCCTTATCCTCTCTCACAGGAAACCAGAGGTGACTCAACATGGTGGAAAAAAGCATGGTATCCCTACAGCACCTGTGACCAGCTACTGCCCAGCACAGGCACACAGCAAGGGTTGGCCTCCTTCCCTGGGCAGTGCAGAGGGTACTGGAAGGAGGCCACGTTGCTTCTACCAAGCATGAGTACCTGCTGCCTGCTGGCCTGTGCTGAGTGCTAAAGGGCAAATAAATGCTCTACCCCCCAGTGTGGGGAATTCAGGGGTGAGAGATCCATGTGAAGATGGTGTGATATTGGGGAACACTCCTTTTTGTTTAATCAAAAACATTATTTATTTATAAGCAGTCACAAAACCCACAAAAATCCAGAAAAATAACATGAGATATTTGTCTTAAGTAACTTCCTGTCATAACTCTATAATTGTGTTTTTTACATTTTGACTAGATATTCTTTGAATCTTTATTTGAATGTATTTTATAATGTTTTCTACAGAAAATAAATGAAAGCTAAGTCATTGCTTCCCCTAAAACATACTTAATTATTTTTCATTTTTATTCATAAAGTAAGTGAACAAGTGGGGAACACTTGAAGAGATGAGGTCTGAGCTAGGCCTTGAAGGCTAGGTATAAATGGGAAAGAAAGCAGCCCTGAGGAGGGCATCGAGGGGTGAGGCAAGAGATAAACCAGGCCTGGCACGAGCTTCCCTTATCTCTGTGCCAGGTTATGTCATCTATGGCCAGCAGGCGCAGAACAGGGTGATCCATAACTGGCCTCTAGTCTTCTAAGTGACATCGTTTTTGAGGGGAGGGAGACTGATAAACTCTGAGCTTTGGCCTGAGACTCCTGGTCCTCCATTTAGTTGGGAAGGTGCCAGCTCTCCTCCTGGGGCAGGAATCCCCTCTCTCAGGTCCCTCCAGTGACTGTCTGGGACTTTATTTCTGGTCAGAGTATCAACTTCAGAGTCAGGCCTAAGTTTGAATCCTGCCTCTGCTACTCTCCTTTCAGGTGACTTTGGGCAAGTTCCCTCCCCCTTGAGCCTCAGTGTTCTCACCTCTCAGTGGGGTAAAAGTTCACCCGCCTCTCACCTGAGATCAGAGGTGCTTGCTGGCTGTTCCTTCCCCTTATCCATGGCAGCTGTGCTGGGCATTGGGTGTAGCTGGATCATGCAAGGAGGGAACAATAAGAACAGCATTACAGGAAGCCAAAGCACCAGGCGCAGTGGTTCACGCCTGTAATCCTAGCACTCTGGGAGTCTGAGGCAGGTGGATTGTCTGAGTTCACAGATTCGAGACCAGCCTGAGCCAGAGTGAGACCTCGTCTCTAAAAATAGCTGGGTATTGTAGCAGGTGCCAATAGTCCCAGCTACTCGGGAGACTGAGGCAAGAAAATCACTTGAGTGCACGAGTTTGAGGTTGCTGTGAGCTATGACACCATAGCACTCTACTAGAGGGACAAAGGGACTTTGTTGTCTCACAACAACAAAGAAGCCAAAGTCTCCCTCCTCTGGTGCTACTGCTCAGACAATGTGGGGTCTGTGTGGCCCTCAACACCGTGATAGCCCATCAGAGTCTAGGAGGTGAGGCTCATGTGCCCTGAGCCTGCTCCTTGCAGGCCAAGTACCCCTTTAGCCATTTCTCAGGGCCTGCAGGACCCGATGCCCATGGCTCCAGCTGTGCCTGGCTTAGTGCCCCAGTAAACGCTCATTCCACTGTTGGCCAGAGGGGAGGTGGGGCCCAGACAGGGAGGACAGGGCTGACCTGTGGCTGTCTGCCTCCCTACCAGGAGTGGCCTGCAGCGCCATCCTAATGTACACTTTCTGCACTGATTGCTGGCTGATTGCTGTGCTCTACTTTACCTGGCTGGTGTTTGACTGGAACACGCCCAAGAAAGGTAAGCTCATGGGCCTCCCTTGCCCACTCCCTCACCCTTGGGATATTTTCCCCACTGCACAAGTTCATCATGAATGTTTCTTTTAACACCTACTTTGTGGAAAGCATTGGCTAGTGCAGAGTGTGGCTTGGGATGAGGGGTTAAAAGCCCCTCAAAGTGCACCATTCTCATCCTCCTAGGAGTTCACAGTTGCTCAAAGGTTTGCGAACTGTGAGGGAATGATGTGGAAGTGGCCCACTGGGAAGAGGACAAAGATGCTGCCTGGGGTGATAGTCACCTACCTGGGGGTTTCAAACTGGTTCTGTCTGGTCTCCTTGCCCAGATATCCAGCCACTCCCACTTGTTCCCAACATTGTTATTTTTCTTTTCTGGAAGGTGGCAGGAGGTCTCAGTGGGTCCGAAACTGGGCTGTGTGGCGCTATTTTCGTGACTACTTTCCCATCCAGGTAAAGTGTTGTGGGTGTCACCTTGGGAAGGTGGGAACGGTTGGGAATTACCAACTCGGGCCCTAACCTACCCACTCACAGAGACCCTGAGTGCTGAGTTGAACCATATGGGTCTTTCACTATGAGCATTTGGTCTTACCATACCCCCCTTTATGCAGGGTTTGTGACAACTTAGGGTGCATAGAACGCCATACCAGGTAAAGAGAAAAATCAAGACTGGGAGGGGAAATACTAGTATTTCAGCCAGAAGAGTCAACAGAGTTGCTGCATTTGAGCTTCACATTCAGCTCTGAGAGCTTAAAAGAGAAACATGATAGTAGTTAGCCTTTGTTTGGGGAGGAAGAAATGTATTAGTTCTTTGTGGGAAACAAGACTTGTTCTAGGGCAGTGGTTCTCAACCTGTGGGTCGCAACCCACAGGAACTATATTAAAAGGGCTGCAGCATTAGGAAGGTTGAGAACCACTGTTCTAGGGTTTGGATCTAAAAGGTATTACATACACTGAGCCCGAGAGATGTAAGGCGTGGGTATAACAGTGTATGTTATGGCCATTGCATATTTGCCTCAGTGACTATTGAGGGCCTGACTTGAAATGGAGGTGATTTATCAAGAGCAATACTAAGGTAGTCCATGTTTTTCTGGCCTGAACCAGGGATAGAACCTAAAATATTAAGTGTGCAGGGCTTTCTTTCCTTCCAGAGTTCTCAGAGAAATACCACTTCTCAGCCCAGTGCCCACTGCATCGTGGTTACAGCGCCAACCACATACACTGGGGCTGGTGGGTTGGAACCCAGGCCCTGACCGCTAAACAACAACAACTGCAACAAAATATAACCAAGCGTTGTGGTGGGTGCGTGTGGTCCCAGCTACTTGGGAGGCTGAGGCAAGAGAATTGCTAAGTCCAAGAGTTTGAGGTTGCTGTGAACTGTGATGCCACGACACTCTACTGAGGGCGAGGTAGTGAGACTCTGTCTCAAAAAAAAGGAAAAAAGATCACTTCTCTTAGCCATTTGCTAGGGGTGATTTAATGTGTTGGATTTAATGATTTAATTAATGTGCTGGAAAAGAAGTGTGAGACCCTGGGAGCTGAAGTGGTTGGGAAGGTTCCTGAACAAGGTGCTCCTAGAACTGCGCCTTAAAGGAGAGGTGCACTGGGGAGGCAGGGAGAACAGTGGAGCATCAGCACCCGAGTTTGAGAGGAAGTCAAAGGCTGAGAAGATGGTGAGGAAGCAGATGCAAGAGGGAGAAGAGCCATTTATCGGCTTCAAGGAGCTGGCAACTTTTCCCAGGGAGTCTCCTTTGACCCTCACAGCACCCCATAAGACAAGCCAGTAACTTTATCGCCTTTTTACCGAAGACACTATAGGTCAGAACATAGCAAAGTTGAACAAAACCAGTGAGAGTTGTCCTGCCTCAAAGTGTGGGCTCTTCCCACCACAGCAGTGCTACCTTTCTGTGCTCCAGAGCTCAGGGAATAAACTGGGGTGGATATTCAGGCTTCACAGAGGCTTGGAGGATGGAGACAGGAAAAGCCCAGTATGACCCTGGGTGAGATGCTGTCCCTCACAGGGCACAGCCTCTCCATGTGAAGCACATTTAGACCAAGTGGTCTCTGGGTTTCCTTCCTCCTGCACCATTGACTGGTGTAGGATCCTGCGCTGCTCTTCTGAGCACCCGTCTTCTCTGGGACCAACCCCGAGGTGTTACAAGATAAATGGTAGCTCAGTCTGGCCTTCAATCCCAGCTCTATCTGGCTCCCGGCCTGTTCTGCAGGCTGGGCTGATGCATGTGGGCGATGCTGGTGGATGGTAGATAACTCTGGCAGAATCCTAAAGCTTTTCCCTGAAGGGGAAAGACCTGTCTGTCCAGCTCTCAGCACTCCAGCCCTGGCACACCCTGGCTGCTTGGGTAACCAAGCAGAAGGCAGTGGGGCCGCAGAGTGGTTTAGCGTGTGAGTGTGAAAGAGTTCTGTGCGTGATGCAAGGTGGTGTTCGTTTGCTGTTGTGAGTCAGAGACTGAGACATTCTGGTTTGCTGCACTTGGGATGCAGCTGGGTAACCTCACACTCTTCCGATGTATCTGGTATTGTGGGGGTGGTTCCAGGGCCAGCTCCTTCTTCCCACCCTCAGCCTAAACCTAGTTTTCTCAGGATGCTCCTGCTTGGGTTCAGGGCTTCCTCTCTTTTCCTAATCCCATCTCTCTGGCTGCCAAAAATGTGATGCTGTTGTTGCTTGGGAGGGTGTTGCATCATAGGATCCAACTCTCTCATTTTGTACAGGGTTGGATCCTCTACAGAACACTGCCCCAGATAGGGTCAAGGATTGTCCAGGTTGCACAGTCAGTACATTGGAAGCATTAGTAACTCCAGGCTTCTGGAGTCTGGGATCCGGGTTCTTTCCCTCTGAATTCCTACTGCCTATTTTTCTGGGAGAGATTCACTGGATTTCCCCTATTGGATTGATTGCAACTTCTGGGTCTTCCTCTCCTCACTTTGCTGTTGGGGACCTGGGCTTAAGTTCCTGCTCTGTCACTGCCTACACTAACCTGCTGTTGTGGCTCCTCATCCAGGGCTGACTGGGCTCTGTGCTGGGCATGAGGGGACAGAAGGGGACCCTGGTCCCTGCCCCGGGGGTGAGCTCCCTGTCCAGTGAATCCTGCTCAATGTTGTCACTTCTGCCCATAGGACCACAGCAGACTTTCTCAAGCTTGCTGACCCTCACTTGCCTCATCTACAAAATGGAGCTGTTCATATGTGATTAAAAAGTGATAAGTTATGGATGGATGTGAGTGATTATAGACTCTGTCCTCTCCACTTTCTCTCACCTCAGGGGCCAGGCCTCAGTCATCTCTCTTGCCACTGTACCCTGATCCACTGAGGCCAATAGCCTCTTTGCCTAGAATAGAATGTCCTAATGACCATTAGTCAGACCTGGAACAGGTAGGTGTCCTACCCCACCTGATCTGCACCTTCTAAAAGAACCAAAACAGGCCCCTATATCCTTACCACGTCTCTGTTCTGACAAGTCAGCTAGGATTTGGAACCATAGGGCGCATGTGGGTGGCCCTGTGAGGGCCCTGTGAGGCTAAGCTGGGTCCGAGGCAGGCTGGTGTGCTGAGCCTCAGGGTGAGACATAGGCTGGGCTTAGCCCTTGCCCCTGCAGGCCTCAGGCTCCCCTTCTGTACAGGGATTTGCCTTGGTGATCTGATATCAGGTCCAGCTCACTTGAGGGTTCTGTGACCTTGTGCCCCACCCCCCCTTTCCTGGCTTCTTGCCAATGATTATGTAATAGGGAGCTCCAGCTGTACCCACCCAACCCTCCCACTCCCTTCCTGGTGGGACTTTTTTCTCTTTGTCACCAGAGCAGCTCAGCTGGTCCACAGAATATCCCTCCTGGCAGAGGTGGGGCTCAGGTGTTAGCAGCACCCAAGACCACCAGCTATGTGGAAGAGGAGTAGACAGTGCCTTGGGTCACCTCTCCCTGAGTTGTAGGCAGGATCTCTGGAGGGGAGACTAGGAAAGACCCTCAGAACTTAGAATCATCTGTTGGTCCACCTGCCTTATTTCACAGATGAGCAGATGAGGCCCAGAGAGGAGGGATGGTCCAAGGTCACAAAGCAGTAGCAGGATAGGTACAGGAACCAGGGCTGTCTGCTTCAGGGCCCACATTCTTACTCCTATGTCCCCGTGTTCCTCTGCCACTGTGTCCTGCTCAGTAAGCTTGGGCAAGTCCTTGCTATCCTCTGGGCTTGACTTTTCTTCCTTTACTTGGTGCTGGGTAGCACAAGCCTATCTGAGCACCTTTCCTAGGAGACAGGGTATGATGACTAACTTGCCAGGACTATGTCCCAGACTGTGTTAGCCAGCAGCCCTGCCTGGGCACCCCATTGGGTTGGGACTTTGCCATGGGAAATAGTTAAGGGACACAAGAACAGGTATGCCAATAGAGGCTTCATCAGCAGTGTCCTTCCCCTTCCCTCCAGAGTGGACATTCTTTCCAGCCCTCAGGGGAGGGGAGGGTGACGTGAACAGATCAAAGCTGTGTCAGGTGCCTGCATTCCTTTGGGTACTGCACCAAGGGCCATTAACCTGCACAGTGCCCCAAGGCATCTCATTTAACCAAATATCCCACCAGAGATAGAGGCTTAAAGAGAGAAGAAATCACTTAAAGAGCCAGCTAGGGTTCCAGGTGACACATCTCCATCCCAGAAGCCCAGGGAAGAAGCATAGCCAGCTGGGTGGCCTGGTTTAGATGTGGAGAATGATTCTCTGCAGCTGCCTCAAGGAAAGCAGCAGCTCCTTTCCCTAGCCTGCAGTCTGCCCATGTCACCCAAGGAATGGCCTAGATCTTTCAGGGCTCAGCCAGCCCGTTCTGTGCTTTGGGCACTCTATCAGGATAGGCCTGGGCCCAGCCTGGTGCTGGCTGCCTCTTTTATTTATTTATTTTTTTGAGACAGAGCCTCAAGCTGTCCCCTTGGTTAGAGTGCTGAGACATCACAACTGACAGCAACCTCCAACTCCTGGGCTCAAGCGAGTCTCCTGCCTCAGCCTCCCAAGTAGCTGGGACCACAGGCACCCGCCACAACACCCGGCTATTTTTTGGTTGCAGCCATCATTGTTTGGTGGGCCCGGGCTGGATTCGAACCTGCCACCTTAGGTGTATGTGGCTGGTGCCTTAGCCACTTGAGTCACAGGTGCCAAGCTGGCTGCCTCACTCTTAACCCAATGTTTTTGTTTTTTATGGAAACTCAAACAAGGTGCTTCAGATTTGCTTTGTGAGAGTCAACTGGGTGGGCAGACCTGCGCTTGAGGAGGCCAAACATCAGATCAACAGTCTAGCAAAGCTCATGTAGAACTAGATCCTCTCTGTCCTTGCCCACACTAGCTGCTGTTCCCCATTTATTTGATGGGCAGCTGCGTGTCGGTTGGGGTTTGGGGCAGCTTTAATCAGCTTGCCAAAGGCAGAGCGGGAGGAGTACAGATATCCCAGGCAGTAGTGGGTGAGATTAAGGGAGTCTTGCTCGCATTTACACATACTGGCTGGGAATGGTGTCAGGCTCCCTCTGTTCCCTTAGGCCTCTGTCATCTGAAGGTTTGGATTTCAGTTTTTTGAGACCAGCCACCAGCACCTTCTCTCCTGAAACTGTATACAAGTTTCTTCACTCAGCCAGGAGGTCCTGAGGCCTAGAGTCACAGAAAACCAAGGCTCATGATAGTCTCCCAGTGGCCAGTTACTGCTTCCAGCTGGCATCCTGCAGGGAGGGGGCACTTTCAAGCACTCAGGTGGAAATGTTATCGATGTCACCTCTCTTGAGACAGAGCAGCCAAAAAGACCAACATGACCCTTTTACCCAAGAATTATATTTCTAGAAGTTTGTCTCGTGAATACTTTATCTTGGTCCACATGAAGAAGCATATAGAAGCACTATTTCTTTTGTTTGTTTGTTTGTTTTTTGAGACAGAGTCTCACTATATCACCCTGGGTAGAGTACTGTGGTGTTGTAGCTCACAGCAACCTCAAACTCTTGGGCTTAAGCAATACCTTTGCCTCGGCCTCTCAAGTAGCTGGGACTACAGGTGCCCACCACAACGCCTGGCTATTTTTTGTTGCAGTTGTTTAGTAGGCCTGGGCTGGGTTCGAACCCTCCACCCTCTGTGTATGTGGCTGGCGCCATAACCTGTGCTATGGGTGCCAAGCCTAGAGGCACTTTCTAAGAGGGAAAATTTGGAAGCTTTTAAAATGTCCAGCAGTTGGGGTCTGAGTCAGTGCTATTCCACCTAGCACAGCTGTGTCAGAGAATACTAATGCTGCCGTGAGAAGATGTGTAACTTGACTTGGTAATGACAAATAGCTATGAGATATTTTGGTGGAAAATGATAACAAAACGTTACCAACCATATAACCTCAATTTTGTGCCATTTGAAAAGAGCATATTTAAGTAGAAAAGGATACTCTCCAGTATGTCAGACTATTTTATCTGGATGGAGGTATTACAGGTATTTTTAATTTTCTTTTCACTTTCCTGTACTTTTAAAATTCTTCAGTTATTTTTCTGATCAGAAAAAAAGTGATATTACATGAATACCCTTCCTCTCCATCCCTCTCAGCACCCTCTACCCTCTCTATTCCTTGTAATTCTAGGTGAATGTCTCAGGCTCAGTGCCTCTCATGCTCAGGGTTTGGGGAAACTTTGCACCCCTACCCTGCCCCTCCAGGCCACCAGCTGCAAGGCAGGAGGTGGGTCGTGAGGAAGCCAATGATTGTTTGGAGCATCCCAGGACAGCTTTGTTGATAGTACCATAGGTCAGGCCCTCAGCTGCTGTAGCCATACAGCTGACCTCCCCCCACCCCCAGGCTGGCTGGCACCAGGGCTGTCACTTGCCATGTCCTGTCCTTCCTGCCTCAGAACCTGAGCTGAGCCCAGATGGCTGGCAGGCCTGCTGCAGTGTCCCTTCTCTGGGCCAGGAGAGTAGGAGGTGAGCTACACAGCTCATTCTGTGAGCCACTGGTTGGCCATCAGGGCATAGAGCTAGACAGACTCTACCTCCAAAGAGCTCGCAGTGTGAGGAGACAGACTCTGAGGGCAGAGCTTGTAGCCAAGGCCCCTGTTACCAAACTCAGGAACTTGGACTTTACCGTGATGAAAGCTGGATATCCTCTTTACTCTGAAAGTGACAGAAGTTAGATTTGGGTTTTAGAACAGTCACTCTGGCTGTGGCAAGGAGGATGGGCCCAGGGCAAGGGAACTAGGAGGTTGGCAGAGTGTGAATAAGAAGACCTGGTGTGTGCTTGGCTGGGGAATAAAGGAATGAGGAAGAAAACCCCCTGCCCTTTCCCGGGGACTGACAGTCCATGACTGAAAGCACCTGCACTGTGACCCCTGTGATGAGAGTCTGAGGTCATGATGGAGAGTCTCTGCAGTCCTTCTGGCCACAGAGTCCCAGAGGACCTGATGTGTCTGGTCTCTCCTTGACCTTTTGGGCATGCCCCATACCCCTTACACAGCTAGTTCCCTTTGACTCAGAGTTTTCCTTGCAGCTGGTGAAGACACACAACCTGCTGACCACCAGGAACTATATCCTTGGATACCACCCCCATGGCATCATGGGCCTGGGTGCCTTCTGCAACTTCAGTACAGAGGCCACAGAAGTGAGCAAGAAGTTCCCTGGCATAAGGCCTTACCTGGCCACCCTGGCTGGCAACTTCCGGATGCCAGTGCTGAGGGAGTATCTGATGTCTGGAGGTGAGAATCTACCCTTGCCTACCTCTGCTGGGCACCACTATCAAGGCCTGAGCTTCTCTACTGAGCAGGGTAGGTCAGGGCTGAGCAGGAAGGCTATTCATACGATCTTCAGGATACAGCCTGGATAACATCTTCCTGATGAAGCCTTCTCTGACTCCTTCTCAGGGTACCCTAGCCCTTGTGTTGCCCTCTGCACCACCTGATTGTTGTCCATGGCATTGTCATTATCTACTTGCCTGTGACCTCCCACCAGCCTGGTTCTTTGGGATCCCTAGCACTCAGCCTTAGGTTAGCAGAGTAAGGACCTCAGGGAATGTTTGCCAAGTGAATGAACTCCCCATATGAATTTGTATCATTATTCCCATCTTAGATAAGTGAGCTGAGGTGCAGAGAAATGAGTGGCTTATGCAGGACCAGACAGGTTCAAGGGGGCTGAGTTAGGTCTGGGGCCCAAGTCCAGGCTTCTTTTTGTTTCACAGTTGACCAACAGAGTGGGGGAGTGCCTCCATGGGCAACCCAGATTATCCATCATTCTCTCCCCACCAGGCATCTGCCCTGTAAACCGGGACACCATAGACTACTTGCTCTCAAAAAATGGGACTGGCAATGCCATCATCATTGTGGTTGGGGGTGCAGCTGAGTCCCTAAGTTCCATGCCTGGCAAGAATGCTGTCACCCTACGGAACCGCAAGGGATTTGTAAAACTAGCCCTGCGCCATGGGTAAGTACCTCCCTACACACACCCCTCCAGGGCTTTCCTCAGCCTAGGGCAGCAGGCTCTGTGGCCCCCAAAGGCAGGGCCCAGGCTCTGGGAACGGCTAGTGGGCGTCTATCATTGTGTCAGGAAGGGGAAGTTGGAGCCCAGACAGCATGGTCTGGACCTACTTTGATGTGTAGGCTGGGTGTCCACATGGGATAGAGAAGCAAACTGTGCCCCTCGGCCCTTGCAGGTAGGCTGAGAGACAGGCTTACATGTGGGACTGTGTAAAAGACTTGCTGCCTGGGCCCCAAATGCATCTTGTTGCTAAGAAAGAAAGAGGGTGTGGGGGCTGGGGGATTGTGTGGCTGGAAACAGCAGGGAGGGCTTCTGGAGGAGTCACTCTGAGGGTAGGAAGAGAGGGGCTGGGTGGCTTGGGTTTCTGTGACCCTTTCTAGAAAATTGGGGGCACAATCTGCATAGCCACCTATTCAGTGCATCCTATTTGACAAAGTACATTCACTCTACAGTCCCATTTGGTTCCCTAGCACCCCACAGGTGATGACATCCCCATTTCTCATTGGAGAAAACTGAGGGAGGCTAAGTGAGAGCTGTTGTGAGATACAGAGCAAAGCTGTTTGGACTTGGGGTCCACTGCTTTCCTCCCATGTGTGAGCTCAGGGTCCTGGGGTGATGGCCCTCTAGCAGTGCCATGGGCCAGCCTGCAGTTCTTCCAGTTAGGGAAGGCTCCAAGTCACCCATCTAGGCCCCCGCAGCCTGGAGTGTGGCTGCAGACAGCAGCTCTTTTCTCTGTCCCCTCAGGATCTTATGTTAGGCTATGGGAGAAAAGGCTGCTCTGCAGGTTTCAGTCCTGAACCAGTCCCTGGGGACACAGTCAGATCAGACCCAGTTGATGCCTGCAGGGCGCACAAAGGGTAGGGGAAGGAAGAGGGACAGATAATGACAGCCCACTGTGCTGAGAGTGTGACAAGAGATGAGTCCAGGGCTGAGAGGTGGGACAGGGAGAACTTCCCAGTGGAGGCATGCTGAGCGAGGAGGGTGAAGAGCAGGCATTCCAGGGCAGGGCGCTCAGCCTTCCCTTTTCCTCTCTGAGCCTGAATGTGCTCTGTAGTCACTAGCAGGTGGGTAGAGGATCCATCAGGTCTAGGTAGTGAGCGGACATAAGTTTGGCTCCTCCAGGTGATTCTGGTACCCGCTAGCTGGTGTCCAGGGCCTCTGTGTTGACCTAGGAACTGAGATCAGTAATTAGGCTATGACAGACCCTGGCTTCTCCCTTCCAGAGCCGACCTGGTTCCTACCTACTCCTTTGGGGAGAATGAAGTATACAAGCAGGTGATCTTCCAGGAGGGTTCCTGGGGCCGATGGGTCCAGAAGAAGTTCCAGAAGTATATTGGCTTTGCCCCATGCATCTTCCATGGCCGAGGCCTCTTCTCCTCTGACACTTGGGGGCTGGTGCCCTACTCCAAACCCATCACCACTGTTGGTAAGCCCCCAGCCCGAGGGCTGTCCTGAATGCAGGGTGCTGTACCACTAGTGGTGGTAGAGGCAGGATTCCAGTGGTGGCATGGCTCTGACAGCCATGCTTTTAGCCATGAGGACTTTGACTTTTTTTTGAGACAGAGTCTCATTATGTTGCTCTTGGTAGAGTGCTGTGGCATCACAGCTCATAGCAACTGCAAACTCTTGGGCTTAAGCAATTCTCATGCCTCAGCCTCCCAAGTAGCTGGGACTACAGGTGCCTGCCACAATGCCCAGCCACTCTTTTTTTTTTTTTGGTTGTAGTTGTTTGGCAGGCCTGGGCTGGATTCGAACCAGCCAAGGCCTGACAGGTGTGAGCCAGGACTTTGACATGTTGATTGCGGATAGGAGCTATGGGGAAGGGTGTTGAAGATAGGGCCTTTTCTGGGAAACAAGCACTGTGACAGGTGAGAGCATAAGACCCTCAGTGTCTGGGTTTACAGTGGCCACTTGTCTTCAGAGAAGATTACATTACAGCAAAGAGCAAGGGGGGAAGTGAGGACGATGTGTGGGTTCTCTCAGGGGTCACAGTGGACTCCAGGGAGGAGGTGACTCATATTGCTGATAAGAATTATCCAGCAAAAGAGAGGAGCAGGAAAGTTTCTATCGGAAACAATAGCCGGGCTGTAATCCTAGCACTCTGTGAGGCCGGGGTGGTTGGGTTGCCCTGACCTCACAGGTTCAATCAAGACCAGCCTGAGCCAGAGCAAGACCTTGTCTCTAAAAATAGCCAGGTGTTGTGGTGGACACCAGTAGTCCCAGCAACTTGGGAAGCTGAGGCAAGAGAATCACTTGAGCTCAAGAGTTAGAGGTTGCTGTGATCTGTGATGCCATGGCACTCTACTGAGGGTGACAAAGTGAGACTCTGTCTCAAAAAAAAAAAAAAAGAAAGAAAGAAAAAAGAAACAATAGCCAAAGTAAAGTTTCAGAAACAAGATTGTGTAGATTTTTGAAGAATAGAAAAAATATCAATATTACTGGAGCATAAGCATGGCTAGAAGTGTAGCAAAAACTGTGCACTTGGCCCTCAGCTGTGTTGCTTTGGGTGTATTTGGAAAGGTTTGGAGGATTCAAAGAATTACCTATTATTGGTGTGCATGCGGGTTAATAGGTCACAAGCTAGAGATTCCGAGGGAGCACATAGGCCCTCAGCAGTGGACTTGAGGGGCCAAAGCTCACACACATACTTTGCATTCACAGACCAGGTCACTCGCTTTGTGCTTTTAGACAGAGATAAAGCAGCAGTGAGGTAGCAGGAATTTTTCCATGCACAGGTGTGGCTGGGCAGGGACAGGGTCCTGTGGGCAGTGCCACCGTGTTTTTCCCTTACATGGAGACTGCGAAGCTACTTGAAGGTCTTTGGGAGGGGAGGGGAGGGTTTGCATTTTAAAGTGGTCCTTGGGGCTGCTGGATAGAAAATGGTCAGAAGGGGCAAAAACGGAAGCTCAAAGTCCAGACCAGAGGCTTGGTGGTAGCCAGTGGCTTGAGGGAGATAGAAGAGGAATGGATGGAGCTGGGAAAAATTTCAGACATAGCATTGGCAGGATTGGGCTAGTTGGGTATGGAGACAAAGCAGAATTAGAAAATAAAACAATGCACAGATGTACAAATGTTGGTCTCCTCCTCTCTTTCCCACCCTTAACCACACTTTTTAAAGCATGTCACATTACTGACAGGGTCCTCAGAAATGCCTTCTGAGGAAGGATCCCCATGTGGCAGATGAGGACCCTGGGTCTCAGAGAGGTAAACTGGCTTGCCCAGAGTGGAGCAGAAACAAAGCTGTTTATGTGAACCCACAACTGTTATAGGAAGTCCTAGCACAGTGCAGAGGTTTCAGCAAGTCTTGAGCCATCTACTGCTCATACTGTTAAGCTATGTGGTCCTAGGTGGGTCCCTTCTCATACCTCTGGGCTTCAGTCTTTTGTAAAAGGGGACAGTCAGAGACAAGAGACATAAAGCATTCAGCACAGTTTCCAGTAGCACAGGGTCACCACCATCAGCAGCATGGTGGCCATCCAGGAGAATGGCATTGACTAACCAGAGGCCTCTGCTCCATCCCTGCAGTGGGTGAGCCCATCACCATCCCCAAGCTGGAGTACCCGACCCAGCAGGACATCGACCTGTACCATGCCATGTACATGGAGGCCCTGGTGAAGCTCTTTGATAGCCATAAGATCAAGTTCGGCCTCCCGGAGACTGAGGTCCTGGAGGTGAACTGAACCAGCCCTCTGGAAGTCACCTCCCCAGAGGAACGAGCTGCAAATCGTTTTCTACCAAGTTCTCGCGTGCTTTTTGTTCTGTAAATTTGGAAGCGTCATGGGTGTCTGTGGGTTATTTAAAAGAAATTATAATAATTTTGTTAAACCATTACCATGTTAGGTCTTTTTTAAGAAAGAAAAAGTCAATATGTCAAGTTCTTTTCACTTCCAGTTTGTCCTGTTCTAGGTGGTGGCTAAATCTAGGCATTCATGGTTTCTTGACAAACCCTTCTTCCCTTCCTGAAATGACAGAGAAAACTCAGTTCTGGTTTGGGGAAGAAAGACAGCCATTAGTGACTCAGGCCAGTTTGATTATTCACTTTTTGCCCCTAGGGATGGGAGGCAGAAGCCGTTTCTAATGCAAACACCTGTATTCCCACTACCCCATGCTGGGGAGTACAGGACTGGCCCCTCTTGCCAAGGAGAAGAGTCAGAGGGCACAATTGCCACATTTTGAGGGGGGCAGTGGTGAGCAGCTGGGATGTTCCAGCTTGATGCTCCCTCTGCCGCCCCAACCCCACCCCCAGTTTTTCAAATCTGAGCCTGGATTGCCTTCAGGATGAGGATGGGGTGGTGGTGCTGCTGTGAGGGGCAGAGGGCTGCTCTAGATGCACCATCTCCGGGATCATCCAGCCTCTGCTCTGGTTGGAGGAACTGGCTTTCCTTAAGAGGCTGATGACACAAGGTACAGACTCAGCCTTGGCCTGGATCACATGGTCCCAATGGCCTCAGTTTACCTAACCCATACTCCCAAATTTGGGTGTAAGGAAAGGGCCTCCCTGCTATGCACAGAGGGGCCTGGCACCTTCTGAGCGGCAGATTGATTCCTGGACAGAAAGCCCCCAGACCCAAGCCTCATGTGCATTATTTGTGCCTTTCTGAGGGGGTGGAGCCAGGGAGGAACCCCAGCCCCTCTGTGTGTTCTGTTTTCTCTTGATGAGATCATTGTACCATGTCAGACTTTTGTATATGCCTTGTCAAATAAATGGAAAAGAGAAGCCTCTTTGAGTTATTGCTGGCACTGCATCTGCACCCTCCTGCTACTGACACTCGGGGAAGACCAGCGCCCTGTGGGCTGCCTGCTGAGCCCTCTGCCCCTTGCTCCTGTGGCCCACATGGCCCTGCTGTGTTGTGGCAGTCATGTATGGCTGTGTGACGGATTGTGTTGAAACTTAGTGGCTACAAACAAAACTTGTAGTCTCAAGTTCTCAGAGTCCTCTGCACAGGACCTGCCAAGGTTGCAATCCAGGTGCTGGCCAAGGCCTCAGTCATCTCAAAACTCAGCTGAGGGAGGATACACTTCCAAGACTTTCAGTGGTTGTTGGCAAGATGTACTTCCTCACTGGCTGCTGACCAAGGCCACTCTCAGTTCCTTGTCACATGGGCCTTTCCTAAGGGTAGCCCACAACATGGCTTCATCAGAGGGTAAGTGAGAAGAGCCAGCGTGTGAAAAGAAGGAAGCCACAGTCCTTTATAACCTAATTGTGGAAGTGTCACCCTATCACTTTTGTCATTTTCTGTTCATTATATGCAAGTCATGAGGTCCAGCTCCCCCTCGGGCGGGGGGGATTGTGCCGGGGAGTGGATATCACAATGCAAAGGCCACCAGGAGTCATCATAGGTGCCTGCCAGATGGGGTAAAGGACTCCTGTCCAACTGTTAGGCTGTGGAATGGCTGAGCAGGAAGAGTCTTTCAGAATCACTCCAATTTTGTTCCCTGGCCCTGGCTTGGTGTCACCCTAGTTATTACAAGATGCTACTTTTTCCTTTTCTAGTTCCATTGGGTCCAGTGAGTACTGAGCACCCGGGAAACCTTCCCAGTTTTCCTACCAAACGCCCTCATTCCAACTTCCGTATTGCCAAAATGCCTGTTCTGGCTGTCTTTGCTGTTCACCCACCTCAGGGACAGCTGCTCTGTGCCAGAAGCTGTGAGTGGGCTGCTGAGGAACAAACATTGGGACAGCTGACGATACAGAGGGCCGTTAGAGCTGTGGCAGCGCCTCTAACCCAACCTGGGGTGCCTCACTGGGGAGATAATGCCTGAGCTGGGCTGGAAGGGTGGCTGGAAGTTTGTCAGGAAGGGGAGTGACAGAGCAGTAGGTATGAAGATGGGGGGGAACTGACTGAAAAACATCACCGATTTGAAAGAGGGATTGGTGGTGGCAGAGGAGTTGCAGGGGCGCTGGGCTCAGAAGAGCAAGGAGTCCATTTCTCCAGAGTTTCTAGGTGGGGGAAAGGACAGAGCAGTGAGAGGGAGTTCCCTGGAGGGGCTGATAGAGGGTGGATTCTACCGCACCAGGCAGGCCTCGGGCTGGAGAGCTCAGGTTAGATGACAGGCATTTCCTTTAGGATGGAGAAAAGGCCTGTTGTCTGATGAGAGTCTCAGCCCCACCCTAGCCCCATCCTAAGGCTGATCCAATGCTGACTTGCAATCTGAGTCTGGCTTTAGACCAAGCTCTGGCCCTAACGTAGGCCACCCCACAAGGGTAGACATTATTCTCAAATGTTAATTCTGTGAATAGTGAACACCTACTGTGCACGGTGGAACTCAGCATCTCTAAGGAGAGCAGAGATGATAACCCAGGACAACGTATGTCCAACAGCAGCCTGTCCAGAGTCATCCTTACTCTAGAGCGGGTAGATGCTGTGAACATTGCCTTAGGTTGGGAGTTTTTACCTTGGGAGCGGGAACTGGCACCTCCTTTACCGGAAAATCCTTTGCCCTTAGGTGGTGGTGTGGGGGCTGAAGTCCGCCTGCATTGTCCAGCTGTAGTTCCTAGATATGGCCACAAGGGGGCGCTGAGGCTGGTTCTCGGGCAGATGCCACATAGCTTCCTAAGCTTTCTTTTCCCATTTTGACCTTTAAACAGTTCTGACCCTGAACTAGAAGCTATAATATTTTACAGGTGCAGATGCCCATTTGGTCAAGTAGATTTATCATGTTACTTATATTTTCTATTTCTCTGCTGCTATTCTGCCTAGTTCTGTCCATTATTCAAAGCGAGGTGTTGAATTCTTTTTTTTTTGGGGGGGTGAATTCTTGAACTGTTATTTCCGAAGTATTTATTTCTTCCTTCCATTCTGTCAGTTTTTGCTTCATGCTTTTTGAGACTCTGCTGGTAGGTGCATGGTTGTTTATAGTTGTTATCTCTTGATGGATTTACCCCTCTATCATTATAAAATGCTCTTCTTCCTAATAACAATTTTTGCCTTAAAGTCTACCATGTAGCCTCCGTCAGTGTGGAAGAGCACCACAGAGCTCTTTTGGCGCTTATTTACATGGAATATCTTTTCCTGTCTATCTCTTTCAACGTATCTATTTGTGTCTGTGAGTGTAAACTGTAAGTATTGTAGACATAATTGTGTTGGATCTTTTTTTTTAATGTTCATATTTCTACTCTCTGCCTTCTGATTGTTTAGTCTCTAAAGTTAATGTAATTACTCATAGGAGGCTCGGCACCTGTAGCTCAGTGGCTAGGACGCCAGCCATGTACACCAGAGCTGGTGGGTTTGAATCCAGCCCAGGCCTGCCAAACAACAATGACAACTACAACCAAGAAATAGCTAGGTGTTGTGGCGGGTGCCTGCAGTCCCAGGTGCTTGGGAGGCTGAGGCAAGAGAATTGCTTAAGCCCAGGAGTTGGTGGTTGCTGTGAGCTGTGACACCACAGCACTCTACCCTAGGGCAACAGCTTGAGACTCTGTCTCAAAAAAATAAAATTACTCACGGGTGGCGCCTGTAGCTCAGTGAGTAGGGCGCCGGCCCCGTCCCAACTGCAACAACAACAAAAAATAGTCAGGTGTTGTGGCGGGTGCCTGTAGTCCCAGCTACTCAGGAAGCTGAGGCAGGAGAATCGCCTAACCCCAGGAGCTGGAGGTTGCTGAGTTGTGACGCCACAGCACTCTACTGAAGGCAAGAAAGTGAGACTCTGTCTTTTAAAAAATAAATAAATAAATAAAATAAAATTACTCATAGGGTAGGATTTGCATTTCCTATTTTGCTGTTTATTTTCTGTGTGTTTTATGTTTTCTTATTGCTTTCTCCATTCCTGCTATCTTTTATTTTAAACATGTATTTTCTAATATACTTTTTTAATGAGCTTGTTTTTTTTTACTGTATATTTTTGAGTTATTAGTGGTTACCATGGGGGTTACAATTAACATCTTAATTTAAAGCAATCTAATTCAGATTAACACCATCTTAATTTGGGCAGAGTGGCTTCGGAGAAAAGGAACACAAGCCACACACAGGCATGGTGACCCACAAAATTATAGGTCCTAATCCCCGAAACCTGTGAATATGACCTTATTTGGAAAAAAGGCGTCTTTGCAGATGTAATTAAGGATCTCAAGATGAGGTAATACTGGGTTATCTGGGTGGATCCTAAATCCAATGACAACTGTTCTTATAAGGGACAGGGACAATGGCTTGGTGCCTGTTGCACAGTGGTTAGTGAGCTGGCCACATGCACTGGGACTGATGGGTTTGAACCTGGCCGGGGAGGGCAGTGCCTGTGGCTCAGTGACTAGGACACAGGCCCCATATACCAAGGGTGGCAGGTTCAAACCCAGCCCTGGCCAAACTGTAGCAAAAAATAGCCGGATGCAGTGGTGGGCGCCTGTAGTCCCAGCTACTCGGGAGGCTGAGGCAAGAGAACTGCCTAAGCCAGGAGTTGGAGGTTGCTATAAGCTGAGATGCCACAGCACTCTACTGAGGGGGATAAAGTGAGACTCTGTCTCTATTTAAAAAAAATAATAATAGAGGCAGAGCCTATGGCTCAAAGGAGTAGGGCGCTGGCCCCATATACCACAGGTGATGGGTTCAAACCCAGCCCCAGTCAAAAACTGCAAAAATAGATAAATTAATAATAATAATAGTAAAATAAATGAACCAGGCCAGAGCCTACTAAACAACAATGACAACAACAACAACAAAACAGCCAGACATTGTGGTGGGCGCCTGTATTCCCAGCTACTTGGGAGACTGAGGCAAGAGAATCACTTAAGCCCAGGAGTTTGAGGTTGCTGTGAGCTGTGACGCCAAGGCACTCTACCAAGGGGGACAAAGTGAGACCCTGTCTCATTAAAAAAAAAAGAGAGAGAAAGGGGGGGAACAAAAGGAAAAGTCCACGTGACAATGGAGGCAGAGCTACGGAACACCCATGGACAGCAGAACCAGGAAGGGGCAAAGGATTGTCCCCAGAGCCTTCTAAGGGAGCACAGCCCTTCCATTATCTCGATTTTGGACTTCCAGCCTCCAGTACTGTGAGAAAATAAATTTCTGTTCGTTTAAGCCACTCAGTTTGTGGTTTAAACTAATACAGTGCCCTTTAATATATTTATACCACCTGATAGACAAGCTGTATCATTGGGAAGGGTCTGGTCTTCTCATAAATCAGATATTTCTTTTTTTGTGACAGTCTCACTCTGTTGCCCAGGCTAGAGTGCCATGGCATCAGCCTAGCTCATAGTAACCTCAAACTCCTGGGCTCAAACAATCCTCCTGCCTCAGCTTCCCAATGAGCTGAGACTATAGGTGTCTACCACGTCGCCCAGCTGATTTTTCTATTTTTAGTAGAGACAGAAGTCTCCCTTTTGCTCAGGCTGGTCTTGAACTATTAACTTCAAAGGGTCCTCCTGCCTTGGCCTCCTAGAGTGCTTGGACCACAGGTGTGAGTCACACCTGGTTTTCAAAATATTTTTTACCACTTTCTGCTTAGGAATTTTTGGCTTGTGTTTTTTTGTTTGTTTGTTTGTTTGTTTTTCTGTCTGTTTGAGACTGAGCCTCAAGTTGTCACCCTGGGTAGAGTGCCATGGCATCACAGCTTATAGCAACCTCCAACTCCTGGGTGTAGGCAATTCTCTTGCCTCAGCCTCCCAAGTAGCTGGGACTATAGGTGCCCACTACAATGCCCAGCTATTTTTTTGTTGCAGTTTGGTGGGGGCAGGGTTTGAACCCGCCACTCTCAGTATATGGGGCCAGCGCCCTACTCACTGGG